CTGTTGTTGGTCAAGTAATTTGGCTGTCGGGTCAGAGACCAAATAATTTAGCCGGTTGTCCTTCAGACGAGCCGCGTGGCAGCCAGCCCATTTTCACTTGACATCTTACATGGCAGAGAGCACTCCGTTAGTTCAGTATTTTCTCGTTTCTTCATAATTCATTAGCAACTGAAAACGGCTCGAGTTGTTCTTCAGCATGAACATTATTCATTTTTTTCGTGATCCGATTTAATATATGTTCGCTGCCTGAATTTTCTGTCCGTATTGGCATTTAGCGTTCGCTTTGCAGATATTGTAGTGAAACGGGTTGCGCTGATGTGGCTGCATGAATTTCTGGCTTCTGATTTGGGAAGTATGTTGAGTCACGTATCTGGTATCCTGGCAGCCGTGTTACCTTGCCTGGACCATACGGACAGCGAAAATGACGGTATTCGCATCAACATGAGAGTTCACCCATTTTAACATCGATCGATGCTCGGTTGCTTTTACAGATATTAAGCCCGTCGCTGAAATGTTGAACCATCAGCTTTTGAATCTGATCGAGCAAGAGGCTGGTGATGCCGTGTCTCGTCCTTCCATTTTGAAGTTTATGATATAATTTTTCGTTTTCAGATGTTCTTCAGCATAATCTTTTAGAGCTCTCAATCTACCACTTATTATCGCTGTTTTGCAGAGTAATCTTAGCAGCGTTGCCGTGCCGACGAAAATCGCTGCTTTGCATTGGATTCGTTGTCTTTACACACAAATGCCTACGCAGGTAATTTAACTTGTAATCCGATCCGAATACGGTTAGATGTTGAGTTCTTGCGTATTTTTTGTTGAAGGGACAGATTTATTTTTATTGCCACCAATAAGGGTGCAACCTCAAGTTGCGAACTTTCATACAGCTGTACATTGTTTTGAAAACTCATCTGCAGCACGTGTCACCCTGCTTTAAACACGTTAAGTTAATTTATTTGTACCTTATTCGGCTTGTGTGAACCGCGGCTTCTGAACACTCCCGCATGCACTGAACAGGCAGATTTGCACATTAGTTTGTGGTAGAAAGCAGTGCCCCGTTTTTTGGCTATTTGCAGGTGCAAATATTTCAGAAGTTAGTGTAATCTAGATGTCAGTTCCTCCGTTTTCTTACAAAATGTACGTCGGTGGAAGAAATACAGCAAAAACTTGGCATAGCGTTGTCATCATTTGCGACGTCTAATATCTTTCGGTGCTAGGTCGCGTTAACGGACACAGTAAATAGCAGTGTCTGTGTACTTTTCAGCCATTTTGAGTCATTTGATGTTCGTAGCAGGTATGCATGAAAAGAGTTGCGCACTGCAGCACCGACGCTGAAAATAATTCAGATGGTAATTACCTATCAGTTCCACTTCGAATGACAAGTCTTTAGTGGTCGAACCAGAGGGAACATCACAGTTAAGTGCTGTGTAGCGGCGTGGACTTCGGTTGTTACTACAAGATAAATACGCTTCCGCGCTGACGAACTACGGCAATGTTGCAGAGCAAATTTTTTAAGCAAATGCTTATAGAAACACCGTAGCGAAGTTTGTCACAGATAGAGCGACGCAGAATTTCTGGAATTGTCGTGAAATCTGACTTTCTTTTCGACGAATTTTTCAGATGTAATGGGATTACTTCCTCACTTTTCGTACTTCCAGCTGGATGCCTATTGGACTGGACTGAATGCTGTCAACTTGTACCACTTTTGACATGCCATCCGCTTATAGGGTACACAGCTTCATTGACGATAGAAAACATGCATTGATACTTACCTTGACAATACTAAGCACTTCACTGAACTCGACACCCACGGGGTATATATGCTGAGCGACATGTTGCTGCTGCACTGCTATTCACAGTTTAGTTCTTATCATCAAAATGTTTTGTTCGTGTGTTGGTTGTCACCCTAAGAAAACAGCATGGAAATGGTTCAGTAGTACACAACGCAATACTATGGTATATAGATGCTGCGTTGCTGCTTGGAGTCGTATGATTCAGTACGGCTATGAACAAGGGATTTTGAAGTTGTACGCCATTTCATATTTTTCATATTCCTGATGCTGTTATAGGTTTCTATGCACATGTCAGATCTTTTTCCGTCTCTCCTGCAGTCGTTATCTGACCCGTCGGACGAGGTGAGTGTCGGCATACATTCTGTCAACAGTTTTTAGGTCAAGTTTCTTCTGAATTTAGGTCGTGGCTGTCGTTCTTGGAGTGCTTTCTGATTTGTGTACAAACACAGCGAAATGTAGCATCACGTTGGCCAGTCTTGGGCTTTCGAATTTGACACAAGCTAGTTTAACTGATATTTCTCCGTACTTTGTCAAATTTATCATTAGTTTGTTGGAAGAGTTCAGACGGGACGACGAGTTGCTGCTCAACCGCGGTGCTTTTATAGTACGGTGAGTATGATAGACCGATGCTCTTCGGTCGTGTGTTCAGAAAACCATCGGTTGTGCAAGCCCTATTAAGGCATCGGGAAGTTGGGTTCGGCCAAGTTTCAGAGCAGTTAGCAGAACAATAGACCCTTGCATTTGTGGATTACCTGACTCATTACGATTGTTCATTACTTACAGGGCTGCTTAAAATTTAGATATTTATATGTACTGTTATGTTTATGACAGCTAATGACTCCACCAAGAGCAGATTTCACGATGTATTGCACCGCCTTTTGCTATTATTTGCATATAAAGGCTGTCTAAGCAGGCCACGACTCCATGGTATTTCAGCACCTGCAGTGCCGAATGCATCTCGCATCATTTTGTCCGCTACAGCCACCTTGCACACATGACGTATGATGCTTCAGGAGCTGGTACTCCTTATATGCTACCGCATACAATGACTGATGGTGGCTCTAGCGGAAAGATTGATGTGAAATACATTTAGCATTGCTGGTACTCAAATATTGTGTCGCTGCGGCCTGCTTATTTGCCCCTCCCAGGCAGCCACTATCAAGGAGGCAGTGCAGTACGCCTTGAAATCTGATCTTAGAGGAACCATTGGTTTTGTGACATACTCGAGCTACGAACAGCTTATAAGATGGGACATTCGTCGTAGCCTTAATTGTGAAGAAGTTGCTTTTTTCGCTCAAAAAAACGTTATGAAATGGTCGAATAGTTATTTTTTATTTCAGTGATCGTTGCAAAGTTTTCTTAAAGGTGGCCGTTCAACGATGAGACGATTTTTGTTTGTAATCACTCAGAGCAATTTAAAATTATTTCATCCGTGTACTCTGCATATCTTTTGAAGAGCGAAGATAAGAGGCAAAGATCTTTATTAAGGGCTAAGTTTTCAAAATTTAATATGAAAACCCCTCCTCAAATATGAAAACCTTTCCCCTCCTCAAGTGGATTTTCCGCGGGTTCACCTTTGTTGTCATCATAGTCAGCCTTTATATAGCCCCCGCTAAATGAAGGCCTCTCTACGACTTTGTCTTGAATATCTGTTATCTGGAATCTTCATTCATTTTGATGGAACGAACTTCTGTAGCACTTTCAGCGGTTGAATTATGGGTCTTTTTACTAGTTGTTTATTCTGCTTGACCCAAGTCTAACGTTTCTATGGTCAAGCGACGGCCGGGTCTTCTTGCAACGTGTCCAAACCATTCCCACTTTAACTCGTTCACTCAGATGTGGCAGTCTCCTGTTTTTGTTCTTAACTGTTCATTCGTCTTCCTATCTTTTTTGGTTATTCCCAGCGGATATCTGTACATCTTTCGTTGCGTGGTCTGCATTTTACGAACAGCGTTTGGGCTTAGTGGTCACGTTTCGCATCCGTAAGTTAGCACTGGGCGCACACACTGTTCGAATATTCTCCGTTTCAAGCACAAGGGTAGCTTCCCGGATAAGAGCATCTTTAATTTTCCAGAACTGCTCTCTGTCATTTTACTCTTTTGTTGATTTCTCGGAGTCGATTCTCTGTTGCAGAGATGAGCTGTCCCAGGTAGACGGGTTCTTCACTTTGTCACTCCGAAGTCCTCTGACTGCACCAGGTAATACGGCAACATATTTGCTGAACATGACCTGAGTTTTCTTCAGATTCATGTTGAGCCCCACTTTCGTGTTGGAGTCGTTCAGCTCTTTCAGTTTTCTCTGCCATTCTCTTGATGCTTTTGAGCGGATCTAAATCTCATCCGCAAACTTCTTTTGCTTAAGTAGTGCCCATTTATGTAAACCCCCGATTTTCCTAACAGAGTGTTCTGTAAACTTATTCTGAGGCTGCTTTGAATAGCTTTCGTGATTTTGGTTGATTTCCCTGTTGGACGTTCTTTTCGATTTTGAACTTGCTTTTGCTTTAGTGAAGCCTCACACTAGCGGTTGCATTCTCGTAAATTATGGCGATAATTTTTCTATTTTTTCTCGGTTCCCCGGCTCCTCAAGAAATCCAGTACAAAACGGATGTAAATTGAGTCGAAAGCCTTCTAGAAATCGGCGAATCCAGTTATAGAAGAATGTGATATTCGTTGCTAGTCTGAATTACTCGTTTTGTCACCGTAGAGATGATCCACTGCACTAAATTCACTTCTGAATCCTGCTTTCTTCGTAGGCTGCGCAGGTCCAGTTTTTCTTGAAGTCTGTTCGTCAGTACCTTCGTAAAGATCTTGTAACTGTTTGATAACAAACTGATTCGTTTGCAATTCCTCAAATCCTTTGTCTCTCTTATTGTGGAATAGAATCACAGTTGTGGCAGTCCAATAGTTTGGAATTTGAGTTCCTTCGAACATGTGGAAACAAGCTTGCTGATATTCTGGTCAGTGTTTAACCTCCTGATTCCACGAATTCCACTGTAATGCCGTTTTCGCCAGGAGCCCTTTTCTCATTTACTGTTTAATTGCACGTTGCGATTGTAGCAAAATGTCTGGAGTTTCGTCAACTTCATTTGTTTTCATTTTTCTTATCATCACCGATAGTGTTGCTGTCTTCAGCTTTGTACAGTTCTCTGTAGAAATCTTCCATGCCCTTTAGATTCTATTGTTGGTTGTTGTTCACAGTTTTGCCTTTTTTGAGGGCTAAAATTTGTTGTTTCCCGACCATCAATCGTAGATTTAATTTCTTCACGCTTAATTTGTTTTCATGGTTTTTTCACCAATCTGCGGTGAATGCTCAGACGTCTTTTTTATTAGTTTCCTTAAAGTTTTGCTAAGTTTCATTAATTCAGTCTTTGATTTCCTATATGTTTTTCTTAATTTCACATCATTCGTTATTCCGTTTCCTTTGTGAATTTTGGGTCGATCTTCGTTATCTTTGTTCCAGAGATGTTTTTTGCTGTTTCTTTGACTGCTTTTTTACTCTCTGATACGTTGATGTACATTGCTTCTGCTATTTCTTCTTCGTGCATTCGTGAAAGACGTCGAATCAGGTATTTAATTTGAGTTAGAATGGCAAAAGAATCTTCCTTAGTGTTTCTACGTCGAGGATGATGCATCTTGTTGTCAGCAGTTTCCTTTTTTCAGAAGTTGAGTCTAGGCCACTTTGCATCTGAGGAACTGGTGGCCACTTTTTGAATTAAGCCAGTTGAGTACTGCGACCTTCTGCACTGTTATCTTCATGTTGCTGAGGATGAAACTGATATCATTTTCATATCGTTTGGGCCTTTTCATGTTCATCATTTTCTTGGTTTCTTTCTAAGAAAAGGTGTTCATAATAAGTAACCTGTTCTTTCAGCAAACCTCACTAGACAGTCACCACTGTTGTTCCTTTTTCCGTATCCATATCGGCCCACAGTTCATTCGTTACTTTGCTGAGATCGACTTCGGTGTTATAGTCACCAATGAGAACTTACAATGACACTTTCCCTGTTCATTCACTTGTATTTTTTGTCAAAATCATCACTCTTCATCAGAATGACTTAATGTCGGCGCATACGCTTGGATCATTTAGAGTTCTATCTCTTGGAAACTCTCTGAACCGGTCTTAACACACTTCTTAGAAGTGCTTTCAACCTGTCCTACGTCATGTTTTACTTTTCTGGGAATGTTGAGCCATATTCCCCCTGTACTTCTATTTGTCGATTCTCTGTAAAACAGAAAGTGCCCACTTTTAAGATCTAACAGTTCCACTACCTCTCTTCTAACTTCAGTGAGTCCTACAATATCCCACTTAATTTTTCTAAATTCTTCTTCCAGTTCTTGAAGCCATGCTTCACCTAGAAGTGAACTGCAGTCGTACTTTGCCAGCGTTAGTAAATCACAGCAGGCCAGATCCGTAGCCCGGGTATTCTTAGCGCCATCTGCGTTCACGCTTCACCAGCTGTTGCCTTTGCTGGCGGCAATCCATCATCCGGGGATTAGGTTTCAGTTATGATTTAATACTGGAGGATTTTGCTACAACTCACTACGATCGCTAGGTGGATTGGTGATTGCTGCTTTTTCCGCTTGACCAGCATGATTGAACGTGCAAGAACCTAAAAGGTCCGCTGTATATCGTCTTGAGAACCCGTTGTCCCTTTCCTACCACTTTGAGATAGTAGAAATAGGATTAGGGGAGTGTGCTTAAAGAAAATCCCATTGAAGAAAATAATTTTAATAGACACATTCAGTTTTTCCACCATCCTTTCAATGTACATGATGCCGGAAGATTTGCATTTTAGACAGCTGTGCATCTGGCTAAAACCAGAGGACACGTTTCGTACTTTCGCTGTTTTGCTTAATGCAGAAGATGACGTGATCTTCGTCGCACAGCTCGTACGCATTCTCAGCTCGACTCTTCTAACTGCTCCTGAGCTGTTTTCACTGCGCCAGCGACTACAGAACAACAAAGATAAGGTGAATTTTTTGTTGCATATCGCTGTTCTTGAAATTTGTGTGAAATAATTTTTGAGTGAAGTTTACATCTCTGTCTGTTGTATCAAACGATCTAAAATGCCACGTCATCACTTCAGTATGCACCACTCCGTTAAAAGAGCGAACTCAGCCGGCAGAACGCTGAAATCGCAGTCAAAGGGTCACAGATTCGAATCGAGACCTGATTT